AAGAGTTTCGCTTCGATTAAAATGCAATTTGTCAGACAAGTTGATTTCAGATATTCAAAGAGCTGCGCCACACTGTGGAAATGTTGCTTAAAATTGAAAAATTATAATTATTTATGGGCTGGAGAGTGCATCATATAGTCGGTGAGATGAGCTCTTAAATATACGTAAAACATTTAACGCGAGCCTTTGTTGATGCCTCAACTCGACTCGACTCGACTCATACGCTTCATTTGTGTGGCATAAATAAAGCCAACCCCCTCGGCCCGCTGCCAGTGGTCCGCAGTGTCCATTCATGGTCTCCATTGTGAGTTTTTCCATTATTTTGTATATATATATATATTTTGGTATTTTTTTGTTTTCCATTCAAATAAGTAATGAAGTTCTCTCTCTCAGTTCGGCCTGTCTGTTTGTGTGCGTGAGATCGATGTTGCTTTGTTGTTGCTTTTATTGGATTTTATATTTTTATCGATGCACGTTAAATTTTATTGCAATTGTTATGCGCGCATCTTTGCTGCAGCTCGCGTTTTTATATTTAATAAATTTAAATCACTTTATATGCGAGTTTTATGTGCGTTAATAATGCGCCACACATCACGACGTGAGTGCAGGAGCGGAGGGGGCGGAAATGCATTTTAACTTTTTCGCCATTCACAATGAACCAAAATGGCGCTAGCGGTTGCCAGTGGGCGGGGCAAGAGGCGTTGAATTTATTTGTTTATGGCTTATATCAACTAACAAACTTTATGGCCACGTTAATGGTGTGCCGAAATTTAAAGTATTTTATCTTTTCTATTGTTTCTTTTTTTTTTTTGGTTAAGCGATAATATTTCTGGGCGTTTCATGTGATTGAAATGTTGAGAAATAGCCAATGGCAATTCCAATTGCCTTTACTATGTGTAACGGCACAGTTCATATCTCTTACTTAAGCCAATATTTATTTCAATAAATATGAATTGAAATAAATTTACAAATACATAGAAACATATATAAATATAAATATTTAATACTTATTTAGAATACATTTTTATTTTAAGATTACCAACAACATTTTGCACTCAAAGCCTCGAGGTTTCTTGCGAATTTATGAGAATTGCGCAGAAGAATCGTATTTAAAAATACATTTACTTTTAAGCTTGCAGCACAATGAGAAATACAATTTTGTTGCCTTCGGGGCATGACAAAATACGAAAATATCCTTAAATTTGTGCATAACATTTCAGTATATAAATGTGAAAATAAATATATTTGCATTGTATGTAAATAAATACTTGTCATATAAATAGACATAAAAATATATTAAAGACTGTCAAGACTTTAGCAAAGGAGCATCGCGCTGAAAGCTGCTGTAAGAAGTGAGTGAGCTCAGGTCGGGAGTGCCGGCTCGAACACACCTTCAACACCGCGCAGAGCTGCTATTCGACAAGTACACACACATACACACTCACACTTAAGCTCTAAGCTAAGATTACGTCTAGATAAGATTTTATGTTCATTGATTTCTAATATGTTATGTAGCAGCTCACTTAGATCTATACAATCTGCTATTCATAATCTATTTATCCCCATTTGGTATATGTTTCTTAACTGTTAAATAACGTTTTAATGATTTTCAGCCACACTTAAGCCTTGAAAGCAGTTCTTCATTATGCTAAAAGGATTTTTTTACAATCAATTGAAAATCTAGAGCTCAGCTAATAGTATAAAACTCTATATGAAACAATTCTAATGCTACATAAATTATAATTTTACTTCATTTATCCAATCATGAGCCAAGTATATTTTTTTAAGTTTATAATTCCCTACTCTACCCACCATCTTGAGCGTCACTCTTTCTAATTGGCGCTTTGGTCTCACTTACATTTTTCTCGCAGCACAAAGCGCGTCTGCCATATCCCCTATAGAATTCAGCGTAAATTGCAATTGTAATTTTCTTGAACAGAGCGTAGCGCTGAGTGCTGTGTTGATATTTCAGTATTTTATGCCATATTTCATGTTCAGAAATAATGATGCTAAAAATGAAAATAATAGGTACATATTGATGAAATTTAATATGATGAGAAAAGCTCAATTTGCGCAATGTCAGCGCTGGAGAAAAGCGAATGAGCGAGCCAGCGAAAACCAACAAGAATAACAGCAGCAAAAACAGCAACAACAACAACAACAACAACAACAATGAACAAGTGAAAACATTTTTGTTATTTCGCATCAAATTTCCAATTAAACAAAAATTCTAATTTATTTTTCGTTCCACTTTACGTGTTTGTTGCTATTTTCCCTCGCCACCCACCATTTCAACGAACTGCTCTGTGTGTGTGTATGGGTGTTTGAGTGTGTGTTTATATACCATATCTAATATTCTTTTGTAGTAAATTATGTGAGGTAATTATTTTGTGGGCAGCAGCCATTCGATTTCCACAAAGTAATGCGTTGTATAATACCTCGTAGAAAAACGTTCTCATATATTGCAGCGTAGTATGAGATATATGCGAGGTCTATTCAAAAAGTATCGAACTCCATTTTTGTCAGCCCTTACTTTAAATGAGAACAGATGGAGTTACATTGTACCAAAACCTATGAAAGTAACTAAATCCAACAAAATTAACAGATTTGAATTTACCTATTATAGTTTTAAATAATCTATGAATAAATAAGGAAATGCGACAACATTAAGAATAAGAAAAACAAGATTGAAAAAAACAAAAACAGGAAGTTGACGCGAGCGATAAACATAAAAAAAGATTAATTTTGTACCCGTAAAACTCATCATAATTAAAATATAATTTTGTTATTTATTTACTGAGATATATTCATATTATTTATTTTTATATTTACTTTTTTTAATTTTTATAAAAAAACTAATTTAATATTTTTTTTTTTTTCATTTTTTATTGTATTAAAATGTTTTATAAATTTGATTCATGAATGTATTTTCTACAAAATTTCTTATATATTTGTAACTGTAGCGATAAATTGTGGGCAATGCTTTCATAACTTACTAAATAAACAATTAAAGAAAAAACAAAACGTATACTTTTTGAGCTGACTACTCCTATATTAAGTCCTGCTGCAGGATATGTATCAATTTAAGTTAAAAAGCTTATGCAGCTAATATTTGCTCAATCTAACAAATATATTGTTTGTTTACCATTTGTATCTAATATATTTTGATATATTTTTATATTTATACATTCATATATTTACTTATTTATATTTGATTTGTTGGTAATAACATTAATTAATCGAAAAGCTTTTTCAAACTTTATAGATACTTTTTAAAAATTTTATTTCATATATCAAATATAGTTTTTTTGGTTTCTTTGCCAGTTCATGTTTGTTTGGTTTGCTATGCGCTTAATTGAAATTGCGCCTAATTAGTGGAAGGCTTTCGCCTCATTTGGCCAACAAAGCGACTAGTTGTATCTATATATACATACATATATGTATGTATGTGTGTATATATCTGCATCTATTGGCTGTCTATTGTGTGCCGTAGTGTTCTTTCTGCTTTTGTCACAGTGTCAACCGCCAAAATGCGTGCGCCTGACAGTCGCCAGGCCAAATGGCAGCGCATTTGTATCTGTATCTGTATCTGTATCTATAGCTATCGCTTTAGCTGTATCTGTAGCTACAGCTGCATGTGTGTTGTGTCTATTATGTGAAAATGCGCATGTGGCCTGTGTTGGCATATAAATGTCGTATTCAATAATACAACAGAGGCAAGCGCACACATTTTAAAATCGACTTATATTCACACACATATAGAGAGGCCAAAAGCCCAAGAGTTAAGCGCGTGTCACGCACATTTATCACTGCGCCTACAGCCAGCAAATTTCTATGCGCATTTTTCTATTATTTATTATTTCAACGGCGAGCTGCAGGGGCGCGAGCAGAGCTCGTTGACAGCTGCCATTGATTTCATTTGGAGACGTGGAAAATTAGCCACGTTTCCGCTTTTATATTTGCATGCTGCATAAAAATAATACAGTTCATTCATATGCTATATATATATAAATAATACATTTGTATGGCATACAAATTGCGCATACGCCGCTTGGGACGCCCCGAGCGAACAGCTGCGAGGTAAATTGTGTGGCGTGCCCAAGCATTACCAGAAAGTGTGAGCTTAAGTCTAGTTTGAACAACAAAATATGACTGAATATGGATGAGGCCGTTATGCAGATAGATCGCTTGAGGTTGGCTTAGAAGAAATCGAAGCTAATTCCAAATAAAAATCATTTTCAATCAACTCCAATTTGAATTCAAGTGACTGAACAAATATATATGCAAATACAATTTATGTTTATATACATTTATATTATATATCTAAAAATACATTTTATAATACGAATTCCACAACGTATTAACTTATTAATAAAACGTTGACATTTTTAAAACCTATTTAAAGTTTATTATATTACATATATTAAAATCAAATTAGTTTGGTCTTAAAATGTACAAATTTTATTTTAAAATTAAATTTGATCTATAATTATGTCTATATGCCAATCTCAGTTAAATTAAATATATTTTCTATATCAAAATTTCTGCTCCTGAAAGTATGCAACACAAATTTTGCAATTTTCAATTTATAAACAAACCTTAAAGAAGTTGCTGAGCTCTTGCAGCTTTCTAGAGTACGCTTTTGATACAGAAGTTACAAAGGAAAAAAGATAATTAATACTGCTGTCACAAAAACACAATGCGTAAGGCGCTCAAATTGAATTTTACTGATGAAATTTAAATGAATGAAATATCAGTTACTTCTTTGTGCCTTAATAATAAAATGCCAGACAAAGTAATATTAATTGCAAATATTTAATTCTTCTTTTCAGCTCATAAATGCTTGATGAAAGGAAACACACACATAGAGAGACAAAGAGAGAGATGGAATATAAAAATACAAACTATCAAGAAATATGTACTGTGAAATTTAATTAAACCTCAAAAGAATTCGCTTGATTAAAATTGTTTTGCTACGTTGTGAAGTGCAGAAACAAAAACGGAAATAAAACAAAATAAAAATTGAATATTTATATTGCTCGCCTGCAAAGTCATAAAATTTTCATTACTCTGTGAAAACTATGGGAAAATGCATTAATAAAATCATGTGTAAAGATGACAACAAATTGGATGAAGCTGAAAAGTGAGCAGAGCTGTCCCAACTGCAGCTACAGCATCTACAGCAGCCAAAAGCTAAGGTAGGCCACATCTGAAATTTCTTGAGAATATAGCTGTCTATGTATGTATATTTTGATACAATTAAATGAAGTTCGACGTGCTATGTGCGAGCGGGCTGTAAATTTAATAAGAGCAAAAAGCTTTTCTACACATTCAAAATATTTGGACAAGTTTTTCAATAATGCAATAAAGTTGGCAACGGCCCGAAGCAGCAGCACGACAAGGACAATGTTGATGAAACAAAAATATTGCCCACAATTTGTTAGCAGCCATCGACTTTGGACCCGCCATTTGCGGCTACTTGTTTATCTTCCGGGTACGCCCAGCAGAGAGGGAAAGACAGAGAGAGAGGGGGGACTTTTCAATAGACCAAAGCAGCGGACAGTCAGCGCATAAACAAATAATAAAAAGTAGAGGAAAGAGCCCAGAAAAGAAAGAAAAAGTAGCCGCGACCCTGGCAACGACCTTTGCAGCGGGCTCATTTATCAATGCACGGCACGCAGAAAGCCAAGCGCCGCGGGCTCAAGAACTCCCACGCTTTCGCGCTCTCTGACCAAAAGACAGTCAAATTTGACCAAAGGAAAAACAAATTAAAGTTGTACCAAGTACTTTAAGGCGACGCCAGCAACAAATCGAGTCAATCAACATTGACAAAGACGAAAAGCAGCTGTAGAGAGCGAGAGAGAGAGAGAGAGCAGCAACTATAGAGGTTTGGGGCTATTTCTACAAGATTTACCTGACCGGCATAAGTAATCAGGCCAGCCAATCGAATTCTAAACTGTCGTCCAAAACCGATTTGGACACAATGCTCCAAGACACATAAAAAAATAGAAGAGAAAAATCGAAGCAAAGGCAAAGGCGATGGCAAAAAGTCATCAATCGGCTCAGACGCATTAAAAAAGCAAGACATATGTGACTGTTCCACAAAACAATTTCAGCTCGCTTTAGCTCAAATCCTTTTTCTTTATACTAAATATGAGTTAAAATAGAAAAAATTTTGAATAAAGTGAAATACATGTAAATAAAATATAAATATATAAAATAAATAGTAAATAAAACATTAAATAAATAAAATAAATGTATATTTAATAAAAAATTAAATATTTTATTTTAAGACTGCAATCTAGGTACTGCAGTGTTTAGTTGTTCTATTTAAGCAAAAGCTTTTTAATTTTTCCACATTTTATTAAAGTTTATTGGCTTGGAACAGCACAACTATTAAAATGATTAATGAAGTCAAGCCCAGCAGCAATTGACCAAGATATAATTAAGTAGCAAAGATTAAAGTAGCATAAATTAAAAATCAATTCAATTATTTGATATAAAATGTTTTAAGATTAAAAACCAAATAAAATAGATTTAAGAAATACTTTGAAATTTATTTTACTTACAATTCTTTAAAGTTGTTCATACATAACTGAATGATTTTCCATGCCGATTGGAATTTTTGGGTTCACACATGCGAAAAGCTGTCATCAATGAAATCGATTAAGTTCGTATGTCGTTGTTGCCCACTTCCAACCAGCTAGAGAGTCGAGGAGAGAGCAGCAGCAACTCATTAAAAAGCATTAAACGGCAGCAGCGGAAGTCGTTGGACTATCAGACGGAGACACGCTTCCGGTTTGCGCTCGACTCCAGCTCGGCGCAGATTTACGGGCGAAAGTGCGTAAAAAGCAGCAGCAACAGCAATAGCTGATGATTGTGCCCTTGAGTTTTTGTTTTTCAGTTTTTCCTTGGCTTTTCTTTTTCTCTTGTTCTGTCTTTCCTCTCTTTTTTTGGTACAAAGATTGTCACCGGGCCAATTGCAGGGAACGACAACTTCAAATGATTTATCGCCAGATAGTTGAGTTCAAAAGCGAAACGCAAAGAAGCGAAGGCAACTTTGCAGGGCGCACAAATATTTATTTATAAAATTGTTATCCTTGCCAGCGACGAGGCCAGACTCCTTTAATACTCCCGCTATGCCTCCCTCTGGCTCCCTCTCTCTATCGCGCTCTGTCTGTCTGCGTCTCACTTTGTTTTGCTACAGCTTTTGCCGCCATCGTTCGATAGGGGAGACGCTGCCGCATGCCTTGCTCATTGCCAGGCATTCGCTCATTTTCAAATCGGATTTTATCAACTGAATGCCATTCTTGTGCAAATATCTTATCTCTCGCTGGCGCACAGGATAATGGCAACTTTTTCTCAGACCCCTCAATCCCGACCCCCGACCCACCCATTATCTACAATCTCCACCTCAATTTTTACTCTACTCTACTCTCCGCCCATTGTTCAAGCTGAGCTGAGCTGAGCTCAGTTCAGCCTCGTCTTGGCGCTTGGTTCATACAGCTTTGTATGGCTTTGGAATTATTTTGAAAGCGGAAATTGATTTTCCTTTTCTTATTGTGCACGACTTTTGTGTTGTTTTGTTGATTTCTTTCTTACATTTCTTCATCTACCTTTCCCCCCGAAAACCCCAATTTACTTATTCCATCTGCTCACTGCTTTTACATACATATAAATATGTACATCAATTTTTTTGCGCATAAATTAATGGTTTCTAATAATTGCCATAAAGGATTATATTGAACCTTACTGTCAGCTCGACATAAGTTTCAAAATTTAAATAATTAATTCCATCTTAATAAACTTTTTCCAAAATAACAGTTGGAGAAGCCTTTTCCTTAGATTTTTGTAAGAATATTTTTGTCTCTAAACACTTTGTACTCAAATAATAGATTTTCTTGACTTTAAAATCTTACAAAACTATAAAGTAGTTTTTTATAAATTTTTTTATTTTTAAAATTTTTTTTAAATTCTAAAGCTTTTTCAAAAATTATTTTTATCTATTGAGAATGCAAAATATTATTTCTTATGCATTATTTTATTCAAACAAAAAAATAAAACAATTAATAAATTAATTTCAATCCATTCTGCTTAATAAAAATGGATTTTTTATTTGAAATATTGCTTGAAATTTCCTCAATAATTCTTAAAGATACATTTTTATAGCCAGCGCCAAGTGCCTTCCATTCGGAACGTAAAGTGAAAGCTCTCATGTGTTGCTTGATCTGACCCACTTTATGCACATTCATTTTGACTGTTTCCGGTCGTTAGAGCCGCTGAGCCTAGGCCTTACCTTGCCTCCCTTACCTCAAACTACGTTGTTCACTCGCAACTGACATTATGAATGATCAGCATAAATTTCGCGGACGCTGCCGAGTTGCAGCTGCTGCCGCCGCGACGACTACGTGGCGAGAGCAAAAAAAAAGAAAAGAAAAGACAAACGCGAGCTATGTAGATAACTAGAAGCAGCAACTGAGAGACGGGCTCAGAAATTCATTTCATTTAATTTCCTTTGTACGTGAGTGAAATTTTTCCATGCAATTCCGTCCAATAATTCCTTCAGTTTTGTGCCAAGCGAGTAGCCAGCACTCGATGCGCTCGACTAAGAAAACAAAGTCTAAATGATTTAAGCAAATAATTACATGTGCAACATTGTAATCGACATTGTTGTTTATAATGTTGAGAAATTGGAGAGACAGACACTATATACATATGAGATATATATAGGAAATGTCACTTTGAATCAAACTTCAAATTAGACTTCATTGAATTGTGTAAAGGTTAAAGTTTATAAAATTAACACAAGCCCCTAGACCCTTACAAAATAAGCCTAATTTGTGCCTCCACACATATCCTTTTTTTATGCCTTTCCCTTTCCAAACTTTTAAAAAAAAAAATAATAAGACCCAAAGCAAATTGTGGTGCCAGTTGAATGCGCCTTGCCGAATAATTCGGCAACAAACTGGCTGAATGGAGACAGAGAGCAAATGCCAGAAACTAAATTCAGTTTACATAATATAGCTCATAAAATATATTGTACCCTCGACCTCTTGGCCCCTGGGCTGAAACTAGGCCACACTTCAATGCGCCTTGAAGCACAATTTAAGCATAAACAATAAAAAAGAGCGACGAACTTGAAGGAAATAAAAGTTGAAACTCGAAATATTTACATATGAAACGAAACCGCCCACTCGACACGAACAGCCGAAAATTGTGGCTAAACATTTTGGTTTTGCTGCCTGGGAAATTGGATACGAGGGGTGGGGGGCAGGGGAGACAGACGAAGTGAAAGGCAACGGGCTACAGAGACAGCAGACTAAACAGCACTAAATTAATTCTGCACAATTTGCATTAAAATATGCAAATAAAAAAGTGAAAGAAGCAAAGGAAAAAAGCCAAGGAAACCCCACACTTCGCTAACAAAGAAGGCAACGTTTAAGCCAAAACTAAGCCCGGAGATGGAGACAGCGACTGCGACTGTGAGCGAGGGAGACATATTCCCAGCCGTAAGCGTTAAGCATATGTGTGCCTGAGTGCCTGCTAGACAATGAATGAGGTCCTGGAGCCTTTTAAATTTCAAGTGTCCTCCGTTATGGCTTTAATGTGAAGGGAAGCGAAGGCACGAAGAAAAACCCCCAGCCAGGCAGTGGCTCAGTTCGACTATCGGGTCTGGTTAGCTGGCGTTTCGATTATGAAAGTGCTGCCGCAGCCCATTGCATGTGCAACAACAGCAACGAGACCGAGAAGGAGAACTTCACATTGGAGAATATTATGCCCAGGGGCAACAGCAGAAATTCAGCTGGCTGCAAATTTGATTGTTCTTGAAGCAGACGCGACTGCCAAGCAAACGTAGCTTCAGCAGCAACCACACAGCGGGGTTGGCCGGGGCATATGAGCGTCGGCATCCAATGAAGCATGAAACTTTAGCGCACTTGCAACAGTTTCATATACATATATATATATATATAAATTTTATATACATATACATGTATGATATTCTCTGATAAGGGGTATATCAGCCTTGTCTGCCAAGCTGAGCTTGTTTGTTAGCTATGAATTGTAGCTGGAGTATGACATCTAATTGGATTATTGTTATTATAGAAGTTATATAACATATTGATAAATAATATATGTAACTTCCGTATAAGTAGAAAAACTTAAATTATGCTTCGAAAGCAACTCTACTGTTTAGAGA